CTCTCTCTATCTCTCTCTATCTCTATCTCTCTCTCTCTCTCTCTCTCTCTCTCTCTCTCTCTCTCTCTCTCTCTCTCTCTTTAGAATGAAATATGAATAAAGATTCTTCCTGCATGGTATAGATTTTACGGGAGTATTGAGTCAGAGCTATCAACTACAATCTGCGTTACTGAGTATTAAAGGTTTTTGAGAGTCGTTAAATGCTGACAAACACACACACACACACACACACACACACACACACACACACACACACACACACACACACACACACACACACATATAAACAGAAAAAACAAAAATAATAATGATGATAATAATAATAATAATAATAACAATAACGATGATAAAGATAATAATAATGATAATAATAACAGTAATAAAAATAATAATCATAATAATGATAATAATAAAACAACAACAACAATAATAATAATAATAATGATAATAATAACAATAACAACAATATCAATAATAATGATAACAGTAATAATAATGACAACAATAATAATGACAATAACAATGATAACAACAAATCAGCATTATGATCACCTAAGAGAAGAACTGCATAATTAATCAATAGCACATTTGATCAACAAACATCGCCTCTTCTATCTCCTTAAGTAAGTAAGTAAGTAAGTACTCTATAAGTAAGTACAAAGTGCCAGATCCTTTTTTTGTGATTTCGAATGAGCATCAAATACGTCGGTTTTACAATAGATTCCTCAAGACCAAAGACTAGAAAATGCTGTTTGAAAGATGTATAGAGATTCCAACTCGATTCCATCTTACCGCGAGAGAATATAAAAAAAAAATCAGACATGGCAGTTATGTGGACGGCTGGTGGAACGGAGGAGGGTGGAGGGTGGAAGATGGAAGTGGAAGAGGCTGGCGGAGGAAGATGGGAGGGAGATGGAAGAGAGAAATGAAAGAGGAGGGAGGAGGAAAGATAAGGAGGAGGAAGGAGAATGGACGAGATGGACGAGAGGGGGGAGGAGAGAAGGGTAGAGGGAGAGGGGAAGAGAGTGGAAGATAAGGAAGAGAGGAAGGGGGGATGGGGGAAAAGGGGGAGAAAAGTAGAAGAGGTAGAAGGAAGGAGAAGAGGGAGCACGGCAGAAGAGACATAAGAAAGGAGAGTGTAAAGATGGAGACGGGAAAATAAAGTAGAACGCTGAATAAGGAGAAGGAGAATGAAGGAAAAACTTCATTATGGCAGTTAAACGAAAGAAGTGGAAAGGAAGTAAGAAGAAAAGGAGGAAAATAGAGAAGGATAGACAGAGGAAGAAAAAAAATCATAATATAAACATGTGTATGTATGTATATGTGTGTGTACATGTGTTTTTTACATATAAATATACTTACATATGCATGTGGTAAAATTACATGCACGTTCACATATATTTGTATTTGTGAGTTGAGGCTACACAACTTAACATTTCTAATAGGCTTGCATGGATACAGTATTATATTTGGACAGAATATTCATTGTCAATTTATTTCTAAATCTGGAGAACAATGAGGTGCGGCCGAAACAGCACACAGAGGTATGTGTGTCTTGACTGTGTGTGAGTTTTTCCTTTCAGTATATTTTATCGTCAGAATTCGCGTCCTACGATTTCATAAATTACCAAAGATCCCTGTGGCTTTACGGTGTAATAACCTTGGCTAATACTCTTTACTGGAGGATTAAGAAAAATCCTATTAATGTGTATTAGCTTTCAAAGACACACATGACTATTTGTTTTGTTTGTTTTTTTGTTTTATCCTAAGGACAAAAGGAAGCTTGAAAACAACCCCGTGTCGGTTTAAGTAACAGTGCCTAAGAAAAGTGCAACTTCAGTGGTCTGGATTATCTTAAGTGAGTGAAACATTATGATTTCTAGCATCAACTATTTTCAAATATGTAATCTAAACAGGTTTTTAAACGATAATAACAATAATAATAATAATAATAATAATAATAATAATAATAATAATAATGATAATGATAATAATAATAATTAAAGACTATATATATCTTTACACCTTACCTTCCCCCAAGAAAATAACAAATGCTAAAGATGAATATTGACTTTGAAGCTAATAACTCATTTTACATTATATGAAACATGTCCTGGGTTTCACTGTAGGCAATATCATTGTTCCATATAATATGCCTTTGAGTTGCGCCGCCCACTCAGGAGGGTTATGCCGCCCACTCAGGAGAGTTGCGCCGCCCATTCTGGAGGGCTGCACCGTCAACACTGGAGGGCTGATGTCAAGGAGGGCGACCAGGTGACATCCAGCCCGACCACCTGAGGATTAACCTTAGACGAATCATGCAGGGAGGTTGGGACTTAGGACATCAGCTCCTGGTGATAGTTTAGACGACTGCCGCTACTTTAGATGAGACTGGGTAGAGTATGGGTGGTGGTAGTGGTTCCCTTTCATGTGACCTGGAAACAGTATGACCAGTGAGGGCGGGTACAGGTCAGACCAGATCGCAGCTATGAACACCTCTGGTCGTGGAGATAACTTTGATCGATGGATTTATAATGCTACTGAGACTGTTACTTGCTCGGTTTCGTGTTTCTCACTGTCGTTTTCACTCCTATATGCGAAAAAGATATTATTTTCCCAAACTTACTACTACGACTGAGCTTTCTACAAGACCTGTGTCGGTCCACACGGCTGGGATCTGAGACCACTAGTAAAATCAGCATCTTTCTCCACGTGTTTCCATCGTCGAGCCTGGTACTGATGCCGATAATGTAGCTCAGGAGATCGCTCACAGCATTCTGGTTAGCAAACGGGGAAATATCCATAACTTCTCTATCCAGGTTTCTTAGTGGAAGTCACGAAGCCTTGACATCATTCGACAATGTAATTCATAACTCCAGGCTGTTAGACCATGAATCAACAGATGGACTTGGTCTGGCTGCTAAAGTTATGAATTCTCTTGATGTGAGTATTTGGAGCTAATACGTGACCCATCCTCCATCTGGCGGCTCTCTAAGAGGGACCCTCGAGGTTAGAAGCGAAGGGCGGATGTCACAATGTGCCCTCCTCGGCCTTAGCCCTATTAATGCATGAATTGAAACCTCTATCTTTCTTTCTTTTTTTAACTTTTCTCACTTTTATTTTCAAAGGCAAGTTACACAGAGCAATGTCATTCTTGCCATGTCATT